ACATGCAGGTAACCGGTAACTCTAAAATCCTCGTGCGACCTAAAAACTGGGGGGAAAAGGAAAAAGGAAAAATATCCACACACCCCTCCAACCCCACAAATCCAAATCCAAAACAAAACCGTATCATACCCCCCCCTTCAACCCTCTCACAATACTATACCAACCAACCAACTAACAAAACCCCCCCACCAGATAATCTAGATGACCACCGCAACACCCCACCCGCCAACAACCCTCCACGAAAGCGCCCCGCTAACCCCCTCATCCGCCGAGTCCTTCCTATCTGCCTTCCTCACCGACTCCAATCGGAAGCCGAACCAGAATGAGATTGTTATGACGAATTTGCTGCGCGTGCAGCAGGCACTTGCGGGTGTGTACGTCCCGCCACCGGCGGCGGTGGCAGCGGATGCACGAGGGGGGGAGGTGCTGACGAAAGGGGAGGCGGAGACGGGCGAGACTGTTGGGGAGGGTGCTAGGGAAGGAGGGTGTGAGGAGGCGGGGGCAGATGGTGGGAAGGGGAGGATGGAGGTTGAGGGTGAGGTTGTGCCAAAGGTTGTGACGGTTGTGACGGTGGAGGCGGCGGAGGCGGGAGGAGTGGATAGGGGAAAGAGGCGGGCAGAGAAAGTTAGGGGGAAGAGGGAGGAGAGGAAGGCTAAGAAGAGGGAGGAGAGCAAGGCTAGGAAGAGGGAGGAGAGGAAGGCTAGGAAGAGGGCTAGGAGGGAGAAGGAAAAGGAGAAGGGAAAGGACGTGGATGAGTCGGAATAATCGGTGGGGGGGATACGTGTTCCGCGGTGGAAATGAGCATTACGTTTTAGTCACTCAGATCTCATGTTTTTTATGCATCGGTAGTGTAAAACTTTTTTTTTTCCATACAATCACGGTACAGCCTCTTGCATAACTACCCAACCCAAGGCCCTTTTTTAGACCTCGTGCGAAAAAAAACAGTACCCGAAACTACCAACGCCCATTCCCTTGCCCACTAGACCCAGCACCTCTGCCATTTGATGTCCTACCCATGCTGCCCACCTATGTGATAGCTTACTGAGCCTTCTTACCCTTTAGTTCGAGGGCCCTCAACCTCTCCGGGAGGATCGGGTGAGTGTAGTGGTAGCAAGAGTAAAGCCAGTCAGCGTCCATGGTCGCGAGGTTCTGAACCTGGAGTTTAATCAAGCTCTTCGAGAGTTCCTCAGCGTAACCCAAGTTCACAGCGAAAGCATCAGCCTCAAACTCGAACTTTCTTGAAAGGACATTCATGAAAAGTTTTACGACAGTGTCAAGAGGTTGAAGGATATCGTTGAACAAGAGGAATCCTATAAGAATTGGCTGGGTCTTGAAGAAACCAAAAGCCTCGTAGAGAGAGGTGTTGCTGATGAATGCAGAGAATAGTGCGAAGATGTAAAAGAGATGAAACTGGCGAAAAAAATATCAGTAAATATATTTAAAATAGGGCCTGATGGGAGCTTCCTTACCTGGGTGATAGCAAACATCTTGGTAGTATGCCCTTCTTTCCAATGACCTAATTCGTGCCCTAATACAGCGACCACTTCGCTAACTTCACTCTTTTCAATCAAAGTGTCGTAGATAACGATGTGCTTGCTCCACGGAAGTCCAAAAAAGTACGCATTACTGTGTGCCGATCTCTTCGATCCGTCAATCACGTACAAATGCTTCAATGGGAACTTCAATTTTGCCGCGAGAGCCTCAACATCCGTCTTCAGCTTTCCGGGGTCCACTGGCGCCAATTTATTGAACAAGGGCAAAATCCAGATAGGGTATACGGTGATCATGAGAGCCTGAACCCCCAAGACGAAGAGCCAGAGATAGTAAAAGAAGTTGTCACCAAAGGTCTTGATAATTGCAAGGAACCCAGCGAGGATGGGACTTCCAAGGACAACGAAGAGAATCTGGGTCTTGACAATATCGGCAAAGAACTAGGGGAACAAAGTCAGCCCAGGCCCCGCGAACAGGTTCAGTGACACCAACGAGTTTCTTAGTTTGCTGATTGAACCCAAACTTCTCCTCCAAAACAAATGTCTTGTAATAACTAAAGGGCAAGTTGATTATAGTCGAAAAAAGGTTGAAGACGATGAAGAATAATATCGACTGCAAGATTTCTCCAGAAAACCTGGCAGGCGCATATTGTGCGATGATACCACCCACCAAAGCCCATCCTTTCGGTAAAACATCAAAGTAGATTGTCGAGACATTGGTGACCTGTCCAAAGAAGGACTCGACGAATCCGTACTTAGATTTTGCTCTCCCATACGCCTATAGCACAGCGAGGTTAGTCTCCAACATGCCAATGTCGTGGCCCACGCAAACCGGTATCCGACTCACTTGAGATTTGTCATGGACCTCCTGGGTAACAGCTGCCTCTAACGACTTGGGTGGCTTGGTCTCTTGCAGCTTCTTGTGTTGTCGTATCGAAAGATAGCTTTCAAAGGCATAATGCGCAAGCCCGATTCCGATAATCAGTCCCTTCCAGTCGAAGCCTGGACGATCTAGAGATTGGGCAAGAGGCTGAAAAGGTCACCAATACGTCAGTCCCACGATGGCCTTAAGAACTAGCTTTTTCTTCAGCAAGGAGTCTGTCTACGCACCCCAAGGAAATCCATCTTTGTGAGAGGTTTTGTGAGGAGTAGAAACGGTTAAAGGGAACGACCGTGAAAGCGGGTTTTGGGTATAATGAATGGCGGGTGTTATGAGCGGACGGTGTATCGGCTTGGGGCTTCTCTGAGGAAGGTTCGTCTGAGGGATTGCGGCTTTGCTTCTGGCCAAGTGTTTGTTGGGCCCTTGTCACGTCCCGATTACATAAACGAGATTAGATTAGATCTAACGTTTTGACAAACCAGTGCAACGAGCCCGAAGGAAAGGAAAGCGGCTGGAAATCTGATACATCAGGATTTACCTTAGAGGAAATTAATAATGGTAATTTAGGGTCTTGCTCTTGGAGATACAACGAAAGTATGTCCTACCGAACGAGAATCGGGAGGCCGCTGTCAGGAGGTTTCTCGTGTAGTTAATTGGTGGGGTGGGTAGCGCTTGGCGAGTTCTCCATGCATATCCAGAAACCAAGTTGCAACGGAATTTCTATTACTTCCGATTTTGGGAGAGTAATTATTAACCCTTGTCCCCCGTATCGCAATAATTTTCACTATTCGGGAAAGTATGATAGCTCTTGTGGGTATGTATTTGTAGGTTCGTGAACGGTGAACCCATCCCAACTACCCTGCCAAGCGCCGGTACATACTCGTCGGGCCTCGAGTACGAGTATAAGTACGTAAATATCTCAAATAGAAGCCAAGCAAACACAAAAATCATAGAAGCATGCCGCACAGAATCAAACCACCAATTGCAGACTCAGCCTTTGCCGCTACGAAACCAGAAAAGCAAGAAACATCATATCTTACAGCACCTCGTGTGCTGCGTTTTGATACCTTCCGGCCCGACATCTTCCGCCGCCCTGCATCCGCCCATTCAAACCACCAATCTAAACCCTTGAGTAGCTACTATATATCGATTCGGATCTGTAGTGCTTGGCTTTAGAACAAAAGTCTCGCTGAAACCCCTCTGCTCCTTGCTATCTCCATACTTGACACTCCCAGAGACGATAACCATATAGTTGCAGGGCCCGCCTGAGGTGCCGGGCACCAGCATTGGTTGAGAGTCATAAGACTTGACATCATAATGAGTTACTGGCATGTGTTCATAGAACCGCGCAAATGCCTCCCCACCGGTTATGGGGTTCCCGTTCCACACAATGGAAGCGCTGGGATGGTAGAAATTTTCGAGCGATGCTCGCTTTGTGTTCGTGTTTATGGCTTCGTAGTATGAGCCAATAAACTTTGTCGCATCTTTCGACGTGCGTTAGGAAGGGTGTTTTGGTGTGGAGGCTTATGATGACTGACCATCTGCTGCAGCTTTAATCGAGGGCTCCTTACTGGCTTTGCTATTCTGCAGGGGGTGTTAGTTCGCTGGTCGCAACAACTGGTATGGGCAGGCGAGGCTCACCATTGTGATGATTGAATGTGGCTAAGTATTGAAAAGCCAGAAGAAGATTTGACGCTTGTTTGTGGCTGTTTGTGCTTCTTTGAGGCAGCGGAGGAGGAGGTTGGTGATGTCGAAGGGGTAAAGTTTATTCAGGCAACCTTAGCTTATGTACTCGAGTACTCGTATCATGGGCTGAGTCATCATTCCATCTTATCGGTAGTGGCTTATCTGACTGGGGTTGGATCCGGCAAGGGCCATGACATCTGAGTCTGTCGGTAAGAGAGGCAATTCGGGCAAAGCTACGATATCATATCATACCGTTGAGTCAGGAGGGGGCCTTTTTTTTTTTCAATAGGGTTTAGTGAATCACATGGTACAGTACTAATAGCAATATCAAACGGACTGCATTTGCATACAGCCAAAAGTTGTCCAGAACCTCAGAATTTGGGTGGAGGAAAAGGGATCTTATCGCCAGAATCCCGGCCAGACAAAAGGGGTCAAGGGTCACAATGAGCCTGACCTCTGGGATGCAGCTGCGTGTTTTGTATCATAACCCCAACGTGACTACCCTCTGACATTGCACGTGGAAATGGAAGGGTCAAAGAAGTGTTGTAACTGTTCCATATCATCCCGTAACTTGTGCCGGTATCTTTTCTTGAGCGCCTCATATCGTCCCGGACTGTCTCTCTTTCTGGCCTTCCCGGCTTGCCTTCTCTCTTCCCCTTCATCGCTTGATTCCTTAAAGCGATCTATCTCCACCATCTCTCTCCTGTCCTGATCGCCTTTGCGGTCGGAATACTATACATCTCCCTCGCTCTACAACTTCCATTTATACCAATATCTGTGCCTTTGCCTTTGCCTTTGCCTTTGCCTTTGCCTGCGCCGTTGCCATCGCCTGGTTGGCTTTATTTAAAGGACAGCTGTCCCGATAACCCCTCCATCTTAAGCTACCACGAAGCTTGAAAACAAGTCGGAAATATTACAATAGTTAAAACACCACCCGATGCCTATCGAACAACATCCGGCTGGGCGGGCTCGCTATGGTGGATTGAGACAGTGGTTACGGATATGCTCCTTCACCATTTACTTTGGTGGATGTATGCTTGTGTATGTAAAGGCTCTCCCGCTCCTAGCTACGTTAATTTATCTTCCATCCACTATGGGATTGTTTAAAGCTAATGTCATTTAGACTTCACTTGACCCAGGTATATTGAGCTCTTCATTCCGCTTTTCTTCTCGTTTGTTTCTAACGGATACTATAGATCCTCGGATTGCTACTCTATCCTTTTGATCGACCGCTTTATTATGCCTACATTGCCAAAACTAAGGCGAACTTTGGTGTTCTTGTCACAACGATAACACAGTGGTGGTCGCCGACTGTTGTTCGTGTTACCGGCGACAAGAGTGTTCGACACCAACTGAAAAGGACTCCCGGTGGGCGGCTCGAGTGCGAATTTCCAGACCGTATGGTGTTGATCGCCAATCATCAGGTAATTCCTTGATTTCATTAACTTCTTTATTAAATTTACTCACAGCCTTTATTGACATCTTTGGTTGCTATAGCTCTATTCCGACTGGTTGTATCTTTGGTGGATAGCCTACACTGCTCGTATGCATGGGTTTTTTTACATAATCCTAAAGGAATCCTTGAAATATGTACCTGTGATTGGACCAGGCATGCAGTTCTTTGGATTTATCTTTCTCGCCCGGAAATGGGAGCAGGACAAACCTAGATTTGTTCACCGCCTTTCAAAGCTTGCTGCCGGTGGAGGAGTGGAACCTATGTGGCTCCTTATGTTTCCGGAAGGAACGAATTTGAGCGATAACGGCAGAAAGACAAGTTCCAAGTATGCTGAGAAGATAAGTGTGGAGGATTTGAAACATTTAATGCTTCCTAGATCAACTGGCCTGAGGTTTTGCCTGGAGAATTTGGGAAAGAGTGTGGAATGGGTGTATGATTGCACTGTAGCTTATGAGGGCGTGCCGTGAGTTTCCTACTTTTGTGTTTGTGCACCAGAAACTTACAATATGGAAAATAGTCGGGGAAAGTTTGGACAAGACTTCTTTACCTTAAACTCAACTTATTTTGAAGGCAGACCTCCCAAATCAGTCAATATGCATTGGAGACGATTTGCTGTTTCCTCGATCCCCGTTTCAGATGTAGCTGAATTTGATGCATGGTTGACCCTGCGGTGGCGAGAAAAAGATGATCTCCTGGAATACTATCTGGAGAATGGACGATTCCCCGAGGACGAAGATGAAAAGCAAGGTAATGGCAACATCCATGCGGTCAAATCCGTGAGTGAGGATGCATCCAAAGCACAACGGAGGGTGAAGGTTAGGGAGCAACAACACAGAATTATAACAGGTGGAGGAAGCACTGCAGCTGGAGGATGGGGGGGTCCCATCGAAACAGAAGTCAAGTTGGGGGACTGGTGGGAAGTGTTTGATATGTTCAAAGTTCTTATGTTAGCACTCCCCTTGTTTATTCTTTGCTGTTTGATGCCGTGGCCAGCTCTACCAACCCTGGTGGGAATCTACTCGTACCTACCATCAAGGGTTTTCAGCAGGAACAGACATGGTTCATTTTCGATAAATTAATGCTATTGCCCCCTGAGTTTTTTTTCTCACCTTTCTGTCGGATGGCGGCTAACAAAAAAAAAACACTTGTCCAGGACTTTTGCTTTATTCGCCAATGTGTTTTTCAAGTTGTATGCTATTGCCCAACCCTTTGGGCCACGATGGTCATCATCCCTTTCACCGAACAGCCCCCCAGAGGCAAAATAGATGTAGAGATTACACCTCAACCGCTATAAACGCAAGAACTCCACCCTTTAATAAAGCCCTACAAGATTTTTGTTATCGCTGCCGGGCTGTCGTCATCCCGACGTTTTCCTTAGATCGTATTGTTTCTCTGGCGTTTCTTTGGAAATTGGTGGCACGTGTATTTTAATTTTAACTGTTTTTCTCTCGAGTAAGCAAGCTTTTGCACAAACAAAAGGTCTCCCACCCGGTTTAGCATATTTTTCAGTTATTTCATATTCTTTTTTGCTGGTTCATTCTCAGTGGCTCGAAAAATTCATCGCCGAACATTTTAAATATGAAACTGTCATAAAGCTCAGTGGAAACGGTACCGTAAAATATTGGGTAGGAGATACTGTACTCGCGCGGCCGAGTTGAAGTTGCACACCCAAAGCTAGTAATGATCGTCGGGCCAATAGAAATAAGCATGACGTGATAGATAATATACTAGATTTGGTACCACCTAAAGCAATACACTATCGCAGAAGAAACCACTGTTCGCCAACCCAGCTCTCACCAAAACACTGGCATCTCTATTGATTTCCCCCAAATCTTTTGTCTCGATATGCAAGCAACACATTCCGGGAGTGGCAGCGCCCCTAGAGTACCATTACTCAAGAGAGCAGCAGTTCTAGCATTGAACTGGCATGGAAATATGTCGTTCAGAGAGATAGAAAAAAGACTTGGTATAAAGAAGAGGACAGCAGCGGAGATTGTACATAGGGCTCAGGTAAATACACTTCAACATAGCTTAAAAATGAAATCTAAGTACTGTTAGGAACGTGCTTTGAATCCAATGGACTTTGACGATGTTTTGGCTTGTTTGGAGAGTACACATAGAGGAGGAAATCCAAAAAGGTTTCCTGAAGGCAGTGAAGAGTCATTAGCTCTTAGGGATCTCAGTCAAAAGGACAAAGACCATTGGTTAATGCCTTTTCCTGAGATTGCTAAAGAATTGGGAATTGTTGCTGCTCATTCAATATTAGAAGAGGTTTTTCATTCCCAACATCAGATTTTTCGCTGGAAAGCTGCCTATAAACCATCACTCTTACCATCCCAAGTGGAAGCCCACCTTGCATTTGCCCATATGGCCTTACAGATATTAATCAATACAATTGTGTTTACCAATGAAACCTGGATTGAGTTCAATTCTATACGACACTCAAGGAACATTTCACGTTATGTTGGTATTAATTCAAATGAGTATGCTATTTATAACCATGACAATAACAGAAAGCAGCCAATTCGAGCAATGCTATGGGGAGCAATTATGTTTGGTCAGAAGGGTCTCTGCCACATCTGGGAGCAAGAAACCGAGGAGGAAAAGAGAGTTTTCAGCACATTATTGATAAGGAGAATCAAGCACGACAAGGACAACAGGCCTACAACCAATCACAAGCATCGATTCCAGGCACTTGGCAGGTGGACGCATTAGCAGACTATAACACTAGTATCGATAGTCAAAATATCGCTGAAGTGCTTACAGGAAGGCATAAGCGCAGAAAGCGACGACCGGAACAAATGTTCAGAGAAGAGCATCTCAAGTTTCAGAGTCGAGGCGGTATAAACTAGGTCTCATACAGGGAGAGGGTATTAAGGCCAAAACTATATCCGTGGATTAATGAGATACAGGAGAAGACAGGTATGCTTTTAACTTACTTGGTTGAGGACAATGCACCCGCACATCAGACAGCACAGAGGATTAATGAAGTGGAGTGGCGGGAGAGAGGGATTATAACTCTGGATTGGCCTGCAAAATCACCTGATTTAAATCAGATTGAACCACTTTAGGACTATGAGAAGGATGAGATATCTACCTTGCAGTTTGTAGGTGCAAGTCAAGAGACAATTGACTTGGCGAAAGAGGCTTTAATAAGGACTTGGGAGGACCTCCCACAGGAAGTTATAAATCAAAAATGTTCATCTTTCATGGAAAACTTCGACAAGTTATTCTCCACAGTGGTTGGAATAATTTTAATAGTTAAGTGCTATGCAATATTTTTGTATGAAGTAAACTGACAATATAGCGAGCTCTAGCATAGCAAGCCCTCCAGCCTAACGAGTACTGGGCATAGCGATCTACTCCATCCTGGTGAGCACTGTAACCGGTACGGGTACTCGGTTATTGATTTTGTTTTATGTTTTGTTTTAAGTATTGTTTGATACTTGGTTTGTTTTAAGTATCGTTTGATACTTGGTTTTGTTTTATGTTTTGTTTTAGGTATCGCTTTGATACTTGGTTTGTTTTAAGTATTGTTTGATACCTGGTTTTGTTTTATGTTTTGTTTTAAGTATTGCCTTGATACTTAAGGAGTTTTACCAAAGTGTATCGATTGATACCTTTGATTAGTTTCGTTCATGCTAGATATGAACAGATTTGTGTATTTAATGACTGCCTGTTTCTACAATAGAAAAGGCAGACTTTGACAGACAGTATTCCAATATACTTAGTTGAACGGTTACTTCTTTGTTCCCCAGTACACCCTCGAAGCCTCCTTTAGTTCTCAGCTCTCGCCTCCTCTCTGGAAGAGCAGGCCACCTGCCAACTATCGTATCTATTACTAATAACATGATTAGCACCCTGTGAACACGTTACATTTTTTTAACCTCAGCAAGTGGTTAAGAACTTGTCCCTGAATTTAGGCCTAATCAACCTATCGATATCCACCAGAACACTAGCGGAGAGAAGCGGCAGAATCACAGCACATTCGGCTTCACCTCAAACTCAAGATAGAGTCTTTGACGACCAGGAGTGGGAAGCAAATCTCACGGCAAGACCTTACAAGAAAGAAACAACCCTGGTACTCTGCTAAAGAGCTGGGCGATCCTGCAAACACAGAAGACACACAACCTCCAGGAGAATTCCCTTCTACTCCAGCAAAGAAGCCTTCCTTTGAACCTCCAATTGACCCTGAATCCAGTAGTGAATCAGATATGGCTAGCACAGGAGGAGGGCTCTCTGGAGGAGGAAAATCCCGGGCTAGGCCTGAAGAAGAGGAAGTACCCGCAGCTTTTGAACCTCCTAAGTTTAAACTCCACCTCCCAGTGAAGTTTACAGGAGAAGGAAAAGACCTCAAACACAAAGCCTTTGACCGATGGGCGACGGAACTCACACACTACCTTCTCCTGCAAGGGAAGGATGTGGAAGACCCTACAACCGGACTATATATTGGATCATTCTGCGAAGGAAAAGCAACCGACGCATATCACCAATGCTATAAGGAATATGGCGGGAATGTAAGATTAAGAGGATCTACAGTTCTCGATTACCTGAAAGGACGATTCCAATCCTCTATAACCAACGACCTTCTATATAACAAATTCAACCAGCTCCAGCAAGTTAACGGAACACATGTCAAGAGAATCACCGATGTGGCTACGGACCTGATGATGTATAAGGACCGAATGGAGAAAGGAAGTATCTCCAAATACATCCTGAAGCGACGATTCTACGACACTATGCACCCTACCCTCCGGCGAGAAGTAGAACCACTCGAGGAATACGGCGACGATATTGCAGTAATAATTGCAAGAGCAGAACGAAAGGACGCCATTCTCCATGAGATAAAGGCCTACAAAACACAGACATCCTCTAGTAGGAATAGCCAGCCACGGCACAAAGTCTCCAGCAACTCTGAAGACGATACTCCACGGGTTTTCAAGAAGAAAACAAAATCCTCCAAAGAATCGAGACGGCAGAAAGGAGAGTGTTTTGAATGTGGAAAAACAGGACACATGGCAAAGAACTGCCCTATGAAGAAAGGAAAAGGAAAGGCAATTAAGCAAGAGGCATTGGCCAACAAAGTTGAAAGCGATAATACCCAATCCAGCGAATATGAAGAGATCCATATCGGATATATTGATGTGGAATGCAACAGTGTTCGGCCTCCGGCTACATTCAAAACACACACTGCCCTGGAAGGTACTATCCTGATCAATGGCAAAAAGGCTCGAGTCCTATTCGACACTGGCGCAATCGGAAGAGATATGATTAGTAATGCCTTTGTTTCTGTCCATGGACTCCCAACTCGAGATCTTAACTAACCCATACCAGTCAATATGGCAGTAAAGGGATCACGATCCACAAGCCATAAAACCTGTAGTGCGACAATTTGACTTGGTTCTGGTGTACTACCCCCCCAGGAAATGCTGGTTGGAAATCTAGCCAAATACGATGCCCTAATAGGTATGCCATTCCTCAACCGCCATAAAGCTATAATCAGGTGTGGGGAATCAACTATCGATTTCCCTGATCAGAAGGTCAGAGTCTCATGCAAGCCAACAAGCGGAGAGTACCGAGCCACAGTCTGTGAAGCAACTGTCCAACGACTATTGGATGAATACTCTGATGTTTTCCCTAATCAAATACCCAAAGAACTACCGCCTATGAGAGACGTGAATTACTACATTCGCCTCCGAGACCCCTCTAATCTTAAGAACCAACTCACATACTCTATTCCTGACGCAGACAAAAGCCCACTTTGTGATTGGATCAACCAACAACAAAGAAGAGGAGTCATCTACTGGGCAGAAGCCCCAGGTGTCGCTCCTATGTTTGTTCAACCCAAAGCAGATGGCAAAAGAATCCGCCCCTTAGTTGACCTCAAGCTACAGAATGAAAACACGGTTATGGACAGCTCCACTATCCCAAACCAAACCCAGATCCTAAATGCAGTTGGACAGGCTAGATTCTGAAGTAAGATTAACCTAAGCGATGCCTACTTCCAAACAAGGTTAGATCCAGAAAGTGAACGCTACAACAGTTTCAAAACACCTTTCGGAAGTTTCATTAGCCGAGTTATGTTACAAGGTGATATGAATACACCCGCCACCTTTATGTGAATTATGGAAAACCTCCTGAGCAAATACCTTCACCATTTCGTCTGGGTTTACATTGATGATATTCTCATCTTCTCGAACACCAAAATAGAACATGCCTACCACATAGGTTTGGTTTGTACTAAACTAAGAGAAGCTAAATTCTACGCTAGCAAAAACAAATCAATCCTGTTTGCCGATAAGTTCGATATCCTAGGACATGTTATAGATGACGAAGGAATACATGCAGCCCCTGGAAAAATATCCTGTTTAACGGAATGGACGACACCCCAGAATCAAAAAGAACTCATGCAATTCCTAGGATTAGTCAACTATATTTCCCAGTTCATACCA